ATAGGGTGAAGAGGGGAGTTAAATTTAGAAGATTAGAAAAGACTCCAAATGACAAACCAAGGAATTGGGACGTGTTCTCATAAGGAATGGGAAGCCTTGATAAGTTTCTAAATAAGAAAATAACTTAAACAAATCAACATTTTTAAAAAAGTTCTAGAACCAAGCCATTCGGAGTATTGAAATGGCAAAAACATGAGGAGACTCCAGCAGTGTAAAGTAAGGTGAGTGTCTGACCCACTCAGCAGAGTGCAGATGAGTGCACAGGGGGAGCGACCCAATGGCTGTGTGGGTGAGAAGTTCAAATAGAAGATGACAAGTGAAGCTCAGCTTTCAGGTGCATAGGAGGATGGAGACCCTATTTGCTGGCACAGAGAACACAGGAAGTTAGAGAGGAGCAGCAGGATTCCCTTGGTTCTTGGTCCCTTTAGGGAGTTCCTGAGATGCCAGTAGGCCTCAGAGGAAGGGAGCAGAAGCCACATCATCTAGACAGCTTTTCTTTCATCTGTACTTGAACAAGCTACTTCTCCTCCAGCAACAGGTATGACCCCTGAGAGGTTATCCACCTCACTACGAAGCCAGCCAATCACTGCCACACCAAGAAAAGGGGTCCTAACAAGCTCTTTTTTGGCATGGAGTTTTGTTCAGCTTATTCTAACTTGCTGTAAGAGTTCTGCATTTTATAATGGGAAGTCTTATTTTGTGAAGCAGCTTCTTTTCATATATGTGTACGTGTGTGCGAGAGACAGAGAGAGAGAGTGAGAGAGAGAGAGAATTGGGGGAGGTAGTGGATCCAAAAAGAAGAGTCAAATTTGCATGATAAAATTTTAGAAACTCCTAACCCTGTCTTCAAAAACCTCTCACCCATCTCACTATTCTGAAGTTTCTTTAACAGAAGCTGATTCTTTCTGTTCAGCTTAACTACATACATCACAATGGGTAAAGTTTGTGGGTGAACCACCTCAATAACTCTGTGACCTTGAGCGAGTTATTAACACAGCTCCCTCACTCGTTAATGGTAATAACAAGGATTATAAGGAGTACTACAAGGATTAAATAAAATAAGACAGAAAACCCTCATATCTACTAAGTGCAAAGTAAACGTAATTTATTAGTGTTATGGAATGACATTGAAATGCTGACCCTCACAGTCAGGGTGCTCCTTCCCACACCAGGCCACAGAGTGAGCTGGTAAAGTTCTAGAATACCAGCTCAGCCACTGTGTGTCCTACACCTCTCTGTCTGAGCTTCCCTTTGTATAAAATGAAGGTGCTGACCATATTCCTACTGCTTCCAGTTACCATGCAGATGAAATGAGTTAGTAGATGTAAACTGGTGAGAGTGGTGCCTGGTGTACAATAGGTACTGATTAAGTTTAGTTAATGATACTTTTAAAGTAGAGGAAAGGGAGAGACGAGGGAACTGGTGAGAGAGACAGTGCCATTGATCCCGAAAACCAGCTTTTCTGGACCAAGACCTGAGCATACAGCAAGACTACACTGTCCCTGTGCTGTGACTATAGGTTCTATAGACTCTCCTTCTAGTATCATTTCCAAACTAGAACTAAAAACAACTCTTAATGTTCAGCGTAGGTTGTCCCAACATGATGACTTGGTAAAATGGCATTTGTTTGGACATATAAATTTAAATATCTTTATTAAGTATTACATTCTTATATAGTCACCACTTTTTGAAGAGTAAGAACAAGCTGGGAAAATGAGGAGGGACACATGATATAGCTCAAGGCCTAAGAGTATCTGCTTGCCTGGGAAAAAGTGCATGTCTCAGTTTTAGAAATCTCAATACATATGAATCAAAATCTACTAAGTTTATAAAAATGGAGTGTAGTTTTCGAAGAATGAAGAAAATTAATCACTTCCATTGTCGAAGGATTCTTTGCTTCAGGAGGGGGAAAAAAACAAAGAAAATTTAAAAAGTAAAAAAAAAAAAAAAAAATTTAATTCCTCGCATAATCTCTTTAAATGGCATTCTTTCTTGGTGAATTTCAACCCTGATTGAGTTTGCAAATATTGGGTTTATACTGCAGTGCATAAACCATATGTTCCTAAGGAGAGTTAAAAATGTGTAAAGTGAGGTACTCCTATAGAAATGATATTTAGAAGAAATTAAAACAAAACAGAGAAAAAGAGCTCTTCCTTTATGAAGAAATGGAGTAATTTAACTCAGAGTGTATGAGCTTAAGACATCAGCTGAAAAACAGCTGCTCCTCAGAGGAGAATAAGCCAGAAGAGTGAGGTTGAGAGGAAGTTGAGATGAGAACTGTTTAGTTCTTTAATGCTCCTGTGTGTGGATAAAAGAGTGAGAAGGAGGGGACCTTTTTTGGCATGAGCAGTGGTTCCAAGTAGTTCTAGAAGTTTCTGCCTCACTGAATATGACCTTCCTGCATGGCGGCTGGAGTGGAGGACCAGGGCCAAACACATGGCGCAGTGATGTAGCAGGGCCAGCGGGTCAGGCACCTGTGAAGCCGCAGCCACAATACTTTCTTCAGAAGCTGCTTTTTAACTTAGCAGAGCACAATTTTCCATCCCATATGTGCAAAGCATTTCATCTATTAGTGTTTTGTTGGCTTCTTTGGGCTTCCTTTTTTCCATTAAAAATAAAAAATAAAAAACAAAAACTCCCTGAACTCCAACTCATCACACATAAATATTTGCCTCTGAAATCCACTCCAGTTTTTTCCTCAAAGACTGGCATATTTTAACCTGTAGAGGCTTAACTGCCTGCATCTGCTTTTGATTAATGCAAGTTCTCTCTTTCCTGGGTCAGAACCCAATCACATTAAACAAGGTACTTTGCTAAGTGTCGTGAGGCATAACAAGGGATCATGAGCAGCTGTCTTAAAGGAGCTTATATTTTAATTTAATGTAATTTCATTTTAATTTAATTTCCATGTAACTGCCTGTCTGATTTCCTCAAATTCTACTGTAAAGTACACCCTCCCCTCCCCCAAATAAATGCTTTTAGAAACTTGCAAACTGATACTTTGAATTCTGTATAGTTTAGGTGGAGAATACATGTGTATATGTGTGTGTGAGAACACACACACACACACACATACACGCACAGAAAGATGCATAGACATACAAAATAACTACCTTTAATTCTCTCTTGTGACCATGACTTATTGTTATTTTATAAAAAATTTAAATGCTGAGTAAGACTCTGAGATAATAGTTTGCTGTTAACTGAGTGAATGGCATTTTATAGATTGCGTCATTTTTTTTTTTACTACTTTCTTTACTCATTTCTTCTACCCTCAACCCCCGCTTCTAGCAACTACCAATCTGTTCTCTGTATCTGTGGGGGCTTTTTTGGTTGTTTGTTTTCTAGATTTCACATATAAGAGCGATCATATGGTATTTGTCTTTCTTTGTCTGACTTATTTCACTTAGCATAACACACTCAAGCTTTACCCATGTTGTTGTAAATGGCATTTCATTCTTTTTATGGATGAATAATATACATATATATCACAATTTTTAATTTACTCATCCATCAATTAATATTTAGGTTGTTTCCGTATCTTGGCTATTATAAATAATGCTGTAACAAACATAAGCATGCATATATCTTCTTGAGTTAGCATTTTTATTTTTTTTGTATAAATACCCAAAAGTGAGATTGCTAGATCATATAGTAGTTCTATTTTTAATTTTTTTGAGGAACTTCCATACCTTTTTTAATAGTGGCTCTACCAACTTACATTTCTCCTAAGAGTGCACAAGCTTTTCCTTTTCTCCACATCCTCACCAACACTTATTTCTTATCTTTTGATGATAGTCATTTTTACAAAAGTAAGGTGATATCTCATTGCGCTTTTGATTTGCATTTTCCTGATAATTAATGGTGTTGAGCATCTTTCATGTACCTGTTGGCCATTTGCAAGTCTTCTTTGGAAAAACATTTGTTAGATCTTCTGCCTATTTTTAAAACTGATTTTTTTATTTATTTTTTGCTATTAAGTCATATGACTTTGTTTACATATTTTGGATATTAGCCCTTTTTCAGATATACAACTTGCAAATATTTTCTCCCATTCAGTTGGTTGCCTTTTCATTTTGTTCATGGTTTCCTTTGCTGTGCAGAAGCTTTTTAATAAAATATAGTCCTGCTTATTTACTTTTTCTTTGTTGCTTTTGCTTTTGGTGTCAGATTAAAAAAATCATCACCAAGACCTATGTCAAGGAGCTTACTCCCTATCTACTTTTTAGGTATCTTACAGTTTTAGGTCTTAGATTCAAGTCTTTAATCCATTCTGAGTTAATTTTTGTATATGGCGTAAGATAGTGGTCAAGTTTCATTCTTTTACATGTTGTTGTCCAGTTTTCTCAACATCATTTTTTAAATAGACTGTCTTTATGCCATTATATATTCTTAGCTCCTTTGCCATAAATTAATGGACAATGTATGCATGGTTTTTTTTTGGGGGGATCTCTATTCGGTTTTATTGATCTGTGTCTGTTTTAAAGCCAATACCATTCAATGTTGTAACCAAGCTTTACTTTAAACAATATGACATTTGTTTGAACCTAGAATGAAAGATCCTTTGTCATAAAAAACACATGTAACCTAGATGTGACTGACCATGGTGAGGATGGTTTCAAAATGGAGAAATGCTGGAGTCAAGAAGAGTATGGAGTGAATGAAGACATGTAAGAGTGAAACAACGATGAACTACACAAAAAAATTGATTGTGGGAAGAGAATGGAAGTCAAGATATATTCAAAGGTAAATTTGTAGGACTTGGTAGTTTCCTGGATTGAGAGAAATAAGGAAAGGTTGGAGTCTCAGTTTATTCACTAGTATCTGACTAGGTTCTTAGGAAGACAGCATTCATGTTTATTGAGATATAGAATTCATGTACAGTAGCAGGTATGGGTGAAAATTAAATAAATTAAGTTTGAGATTGCTGTGGGAAATCTAAGTGTATATATCTAGCCAGCAGTTGTATATGTAGAGGAGTGAGTATAAAGCTGAGGAGAGAAATCATCGTTAGAAAGAATAAGGTAGAGAAACAGAAATAATCAGTCAGATAGGTGGGTAAGTTGTATAAGTCAAAGACAGAGAGGATTAAGGCATGAACAGCTAACTATATATATCAAATAATGTGGATGTCCAGTAAGATAAGGATTGGGACTCGTTCACTAGATTTGTCCAAATAGTGGTGCTTCCCAGACAGCTGCTGTGACATATCAGGGAAGAAGATAGCAGTAGAGAGTTTGGGAGTTGGTAGAAGGCTATTAAGCAGAAATGACAGTGATTGTAGCCTCACAGATCATTACATTAATCCTGGTATTTGGTCTGCAACTGCATGGCCTTTAGTTATAAAAGGGATTAGAAAAGCTTGTGCAGTTGTGTGAAGGCAAATCCATGTGCATTCCTAGGAAATGCACAGAGTACAGAGTGTCATTTTAGTCTCTAATCCCATTTTGTTCTAAGGCACAATGTATATGGCCATATATGTGTCCCCAGGAACATGAAAGGACTCAGTTGCTTTCAACACATAAAGGTAAGAATTTTAAGGATCTATACACATTGATAGAAATAAATTATGATGACCCTAAGAACATCAATGCATTTACAAAGCTCCTTCATCAACCTTACCTGGCTATTGGGTAGCAGACTGACTAATACCAGCATTTTCAGTTGACAGATGATATAATCAAATTGTCAGGTGTCTTTTAATTACAGTTTACTAGGCATTAGAAGTTCAACTAGAAGTGATATTCAGAGACGGCCAAACCTATAGGGCCTCATCTGTGTGTAAGGGATTTTTTAGAGATATTGATTCAACTTAGTTTCTCTACCAACTCAGTCCCTACAGTGTGTCCAATCCTTGAATCCTTTAAAATGTAGAGTAAACAGTTCTAACATATGACAGAATTATAGAACAACTCTGTATTTAAAAATATCTCTCTGAATAGGCTAACCTTTATATTCAAAGAATATGTATGTGATAAGTTCTTCCTTTAGCGGTTGTGGTGCCTCTGTGTTGATATACCCAGAGTGCTGACTGGTTCCCTGTGGCACACAACAGGCACTTAGAAAATATCTGTTGAGTAGTTTGTGGAAGGTGTACATTGTGGATACCTCCTTATGGTTAGATGTACTTCACAGCTACAGATCAATCCTTGAAACCTCTGTAACCCCAAATTTCTTCCCCATACCCTGTTCAGGATGACAGCTTCTGGTTGGTTCTTCTCACCTGAAACCATACCTGTGTAAGACTCCTTCATCCATGGCTATGTATACCCCCTCACCAATTCCTGCTCTTCATGGGAAATATAAAAATGCTCATAAAGAATAAAGGCAACTTAAGTGTGCATTTCAGTTATTAATGTTATCTCTTGACCTTCTCGATTCTGAGCTTCGTAACCTTTGTCTACCTGACTAGATGACCTTTAACCCCTTCTATGTTGAGGTAGCCTATCCTTGTGATCAATAGTGTGGCTTCTGGCATTGCACTACCTGGGTTAACTTCTTATCTCCACTACCTCTATCATTGCACTCTGGGCGAATAAATTGCTTAGCATCTCTGTGCCTTGGTTGCCCCATATTTAAAAAGGGGATAAAAACGGATCCGCTCTTGTCTAGTTATTATGAAGATTAGTCAACACATATTATGCGGCTAGAATAGTGCCAAGGACCTGGAAAAAATTCACTAAATGCACTGTAGTTGTAGAGTAGTGGTTGTTATTACCTACTTGCTTAAGCATGGTGGCCTACAGATTCCTAGATTCCTGCACAATGGCTTAGCCAATGGAATGGCCTTGAAGAACTAGGAACCAACTCTCGCCTGGCCTTGCTGAAGGCTGCCTACAGAACAATATGCACTTAAGCCATAGATCTTCCAGCAGATCTCCAAAATGACGAATGTCCACTTGGGCTAGAAATTTCTCTCCCAACTAGAGGAGGTAAAGAGAAAAGTCATCATAGTTCTCACCAAACTAAATTTTATTGCATGGCATTTGCTGATCCTTCAAGTCTTTCCTTTTTTAAAATTATCTCCAGACCCACTCAACTTCCAGGGAAGAAGAGAATTCTGGAGATATTCTAGAATTAAAGAGAAGCTAGACACATAACAAGAAGCCATAAGCTTCCTTCATTTATGAATCTTCATTTATGAAATCTCTTCACTGATGAAACCAATTTCATAACCCCTTGGACAACTGGTATTACCTAATTTTGGATAAATCTACTGGAACAGTGGTCCCCAACATTTTTGGCACCAGAGACAAGTGCTGCTATGAGACTCTAATGCCTGCTGATCTGAGGTGGAGCTGAGGTGGTGATGCTAGTGCTGGGGAGCAGCTGCAAACACAGATCAAACTTCTCTCACTAGCCCGCCACTCACTTCCTGCTCTATGGTCCAGTTTCTAACAGGCCACAGACTGGTACTCCGATCTGCGTCTCAGTGGTCAGGGACCCCTGTGCTAGAGGATCAAGCCCAGCCTACTCAGATGATCCTAACAAGAAGTGAGTCTGAGAACCACCTCTCCAACAAAGATACCAGGCTGCAAGTCCCACGTGGCCACTCATATGTCCCTGTGGAGGTCTGAGCACAGAAGGAATTCAGTAAGGGAAACAAAACAAAACAAAACAAAAAACAAAACCACAACTTCAGCGAGTACTAGGAAGAAAAGGGAAATCTGTCATTTCTTGCTATACCTCACAAGCTCTCCTGGCAAAGAAAAATGACACCAAGGTCCAGGTAGGCTTCAAGTCATTGCTAATAATAGAGGAAAGATTTTGGGGATGAAAAACTTAGTAGCAGCAGCAGCAGCAGCAGCAATGGTAGCCTTAATTTATTGAACACTTACTATGTGCCAGACATTGTGCTCAGTGTTTTGTATGCATCTTCCCATTTTATCCTCACAATTCTCTCCTAGCAGATCTTATCTAGTGAGTTAGTGTGGCGGCTAAGAGGACAGGCTCTAAGTCAGGGCTATTAATAGCCTCAGCACTATTGACATTTGGGGCTGGAAAATTCTTGGTTGTAGGAGCCATCCTGTATACTGTAGGAAGTTAGAAAGCATACCTTTCTCCCCACTCCCACCCCAGTTGTGACAACCAAAAGTGTCCCCAGACATTTCCAAATGTCCTCTGAGTAGCAAAATTACCCCTGCTTGAGAATCACTGCTCTAGAGTCTCAGAAAAAGCACAAAGAATTCTAGCTCAAATGATTGCTACCAATGTGGCTGTGTACCAGTTTCTCACTGACAAATATACCAATTACATCCTATTTTAAAAGTTTTAACTGAAATAATTTCTGTAGCATGCTTAGAACAGCCCATAGGAAGTTTCAATAAATGTTAGCTGTTTTTATGACTTTGTTTTCTTTTTTTTTTTAACAGATAAAGAAACTGATAATTAGAATAGTTAAATAACTTGCCACATTCTCAGCTGAGGTGTAGCTGAACTGGAGTTCAAATCCAGACCATCTGTCATTGCTAGGGGCCAGTGTCCTGGCCACTCCTCTTTGACAGCAGCAGAGACTGAAGTGGCCTGAGCAGCTCAGCCAAGGTGGCCATAGCAATTCCCTGGCATTTGACATTGTTTGCTGGCAGTCACAAGTGGTCACTATCAAGGATTATTATTTGTGTATCCATGAGTCACAATATGCCAGATTCATAAGAGCCAGATGTCACAGCTGACCCAGATGAGGCACTCAGACAGATCCCACGCATTTTGTGTGTCAGGGCTTATCCATTCATAAAATAGCTCTTTCCCAAAATATAAGTCTTGAGAAAAATATCTAAAGTTGGTTGAGCAATTCTGAGACTAGTTGCAGTGGATTTCCAAGTTTCTCCCCCTACCCTCCACCTCTCATACTTTTAATTCTGGGTTAATTCTTTCACAATTCAAGGGCATGGTACCCATCATTTGACCCAGTAAAAGAAACAGGAATTGACAGACATAAGTAGGTGACCATAGGATAATAACATTATTTTTGCCGTTGTAAATCTTAAAGCTACAGAAATATTTTGTGGTCAAAATCAGGCAGTGGTATCACTAACTCTCTCTCTGCCTTTTTCCCTTTTCTTTTTTTCAAACTGTGGACAGAACCACTTTCTCAGAAGTACAGATGAAAGACCCCCCCAAAAATGCATGCATGTATACATACCAGTCTCAGGAGTACAAGGTGTCTGGAGTAAGCATTAGAGAGGTTCAAGTTGGCTCTCCCTGTTAAAATTACAGCTGCACCAAAGATGGTACAGAATATCAGCCCAGGCCTCAGGAAACTTGTCCGGTCCTCAGGAGTGAGAAAATGCAGCTGTGCTGGATCCGATAGACTATGGAGGGTCAGGCTTCACTCTTCTCTTCACCACTCTGTCCAGAAAGAAATGTCAGGGAGATGCCCCCACTGCACCAGGCAGCATCTAGGCAGCCATGGTCAAAACACAGGTATCTGTCATTCTGTGAGTGTTCAAAAGACAGGTGAATTTTCTTTTTTAAAACAAGAAAACAAACAAACAAACAAAATAAACCTAGGGTTTAGCGTTTTTCATTTTTCATTTTCACTTTTTGTTTTCCTCCAGGGGTTGAAATTTAATCTCTCTTTTAGCAAACTGGAGCTGGCTCCCTCTCTTCCCCTGGCTTTTTCTTCCCAGTGTACTCTCAGTGCTTATCCTACAGGTACACACTCAGCTGATTAGGACGACTGTGCATTGTCCCCTAGGGCTATTGTCACCAAGGAAACATGTTTGAGGACAGGTGCTTTCCATCCTTTCCTCAGCTGATTAGGACGACTGTGCATTGTCCCCTAGGGCTATTGTCACCAAGGAAACATGTTTGAGGACAGGTGCTTTCCATCTCTTTCACTCCCACCCACACACATACAGCATTAGCTATGCTGACACTGCTAGTCTTCAGGTTCAGCACTTGTCAGGTATTGGCAGTGAAGGAATCCCTTCACAAAATGCACTCAATCATGGGGTATCCATATATGTGAGTGTGTGTCCAATTCACCTGCAAGATTCCTCATTTCCCACAGGTCCCACTAGTGCAGTAATGAAAGTGATGCAGCCTCATTCAGTAGCAGTTATAAGATTTGGCTGAGGGCTCAGCTTTCCCCTCTTCCTAGGATGTCCTCTCTGACATTTCACCTCTTCCCAAGAGGCACTTCTTGTGAGACAACACAAACATCATTCACCAGCTGCACCCCACCCTTTAGCTTGATGACCTACATTACTGGCTAACACAGAGATATTTTTTAGCTTAACTTACATCCGGTTAGGCATAAAGATATTTTTAAGACTACTTTGTGGGGGGTAAAAACACATCAGGGGTTACTCCAAATCTATTTCAAATCAGAGTCTCAGGCCAACCCTGCAGAGAGAGCCAGAAGGAGGAAATGACTCACTCTCCAGGAGCGTTGCTCTCTTAAAATTCCTTAAACTCTCTCCCAGCACAGAGGGCCAGGGGCCATCACTGAAGTTCAGCTGCTACTTGAAATCAAATCCTACCTAAAACAGCACCACCTTACAGAGGAAGGCGATGTCCTAATGACATGTGTCTATGCACTAGGCCATTTTAGATTGTATGAAGAATTGACAGAAACAGCTTTCCTATTTTCTTGCTTTTCTATGATAACTTGGAATACTCATTGTTGAAATAAGAGAGATTTAGTAAAATTTTAGTAAATAAGAATCACACATTTCCCCCAATTTTCAGTTCTACAGATCTATTGTTTTCAAGTAAAGTGGTAGATTAAGTTGGAATTGTATAAACCTGATACATTATCCTTCATTGGCCAAAACTTAGATTCATTTACTTACTCATCTATCCAACAATCCATCCATTCATTCAGAAATAATTTAAATGCCCAATCTGCCAGACACAGTGAAACCCAAGGGACAAATATGAATAAGACATAGTTTCCGTCGCTGATGGGTTGGCCAGATGATAAGAGAGAGACTGGCAAGTAAACATACATGATTATGGGACACCATTATCTAAGTTTCATAAACATGGTACAGTGACATAGTGTAGGTGGTCAGTGCCACCTGCAGGCATCAGGAAGTCTTCCAAGACTAGATGAGCAGGTATTTCCAGGCATATAAGTGCACTAAGGCACAAGTGGAAATGAGATCCCTTTGAACTGTTCCATGCCTCTGCCTTTACTCACAGGGCTTTTTCTACCATGAACTCCCTAAAAAAGCATTAATAAAACTCCTGGCACACAGTAGGCACCTACTGTATTTATAAATAAATAAACACAGTATTTATTTATAAATAAATTAATGATGATGAGTAGTTAATGGAAAGAAGGGGGTAAAGAAGTAGTAAATCAAAGAAAGTAGAGGCAACTGCAGACAAGGAAGAGTGAAGATACAGCATGCAGATGACTGCCCTTGATCACTTGTCCACAGAGAATGTCAGAAAAGACCACAGAAATATTTCCAATTGAGTTTAGATGGCAAAGGACTTACAGTTCTCTGCAACAGCGTGCTTGACGAGCACACCAAGTAGAACCTATTTGCCATTTGCATTTGCAAACTATTCTAATGAGGAACTTGACAATGAAAAGTAAAATAAATACCTACAACATATTAGAGAGGAGAATACTTTTTCCATAAAGAATCTTTGAAAGTAACCAGAGAAAGAATATAAGATAAAGTGTCTGCATATTATATAGTGACAATGTGAGGAAAAACCTATATTTCTGGAATTCCTATAATTTTTTTCAATGTGGTGTTGGTTATGACATTTTAACAATAAAAAAAAAATCTGAAATTTTTAAATGGCCTAAGAATAAAAATGTAGGGGTGGGAGAATTACAGGGAAGAGTTTAATTTGTCTAGACCATGCACTATGCTAAGGGAATCCTGGGCATTAATTAACCGAATCAACTCTTAATCACATGTGGTGTCAGTACAAAGGTCAAGCAGACAGTGTGCTCATTTTCATACTTTGGGGCCTTAAGGAAACTAAATGACATTTTTAAGAAACAGAGGTTGTGAGAGTCATGTCTGATAAGAGCTCCTTTATTACATCCATTTGGTATTGGCAAAAATGTCCAAACTGCTGGCTCAGCAGGGCCTGTCTTTCCATCTCCAGCAAGAAAGGGTATACAACCAGACTTCCCAGCCTCAAAAGACTGCTGTAATTAGTAGGTCAAATGTAAAAGAGTCTAGCACAGAACCAGGAGCATAGTATGAACTCAGCGTACAGGAATTATGAATTGTGGATAATAAAGGCATGTTTCCAACTTTGCCAGTGTATCAGGATCACTTAGAGACTTCTTAAAACAGTTTGCTAAAAGGGAGGCAAGGAGGAAAGATACCATTCACAGTTTTGCTGCTCCACACTTGCAGCAGTGGCATCTGTACTGCCAAGAGCTGGTGACAATGCACTCTTACCCCACCCCAGATCTACTCATCAGGATCTGTGTTTTAACAAATTACTTTGTGAAATGTACTGTCTATAACACTCAGACTGAACACACTTGTCCTGAGCAATCCACAGTTCCTCTTAAATATCTCTTTAAACAAAAGTACACTTTCAAAGGTGACTTTATTATGATATTCAGAAAATTAGCAGCAGCAGATAAAGTAGCAAAAGACCTGGATTAGAAATTAGGAGACCAGAACTGTAAATCTGACATGTTCCAACCTTACTGCAACTTAATGGAAGTCTTTTCCCTTCTCTGGGCCTCAGTAACCGTGTCTGTGCATTAAGAGAGTTCACTATGAGATTTAAGACTCAAACATTCAAAGTATGAAGATCCTAACTGTGTGTAAATTTTGGCTACATATGTTCCATTTTTCTTTTTTTTCCTAAAAAAGAAAGAATAACATAAAGGAAAACAGATTGCTGGTCCCATCCCTCAGAGTTTCTGATTCTGTAGGTCTGCAGAGGGCCTGAGCATTGGCATCCTTGGATGATGCTGCTGGTCCAAGGACCGCATTGTGGGGAGCCCCACGCTGGGCCATACTGCCTTTCTCTGCTATTTCACTTGATGTATCCACTCTGAGGCTTTACTTCCTCCTGCCAGAGCCCCCTCAGTAACTCTAGACTCATTGAGAGGGAGCTGATAAACTCATCCTGGGAAATATTTTAGACAACCCATTAATTTAAAATCTCAATATACATGAAAAATAACAACAACAACAACAACAATAGTAGTGATTATTTCAGGCACTTTCAGTGATGAGAGGGAAAAAGATTTAGAGGAAGAAAGACTTCATCATTCTTTTGAAATCATACTTTTCTTGGTGAGTTGACTTTGGAAATCTGACAATTTCTCAGCTAAATGTACTCAATATTCATACATAGCTAAAAGTTCACCACCTTTATTTGGCCCATGAATACCATAGAATTCTAGTCTCCTTTTATCTCTTCCTCCTCTTCCCTGCCCCCAACCTCTCTCACCTCATTACCTGGAAGAGTGCCACCTTGGGCACTCCAGGATAGCTTTGACCAACCTTTCTGCAATAGATAGAGTATTTTTTAATTTGACACCCAACCAAGCATAGACAAGTTGGCACAGGAGACAGATTAAATACATTCCTCAAACTTTCATGTTTTCTCTTGAATGTCTAAATGTTAAGGTTCAAGGACAGAAAACTCTAACACAAGACTGTCACTCGAAGATCTTGAAATTGCTGAGTAGAGGTTTAGAAAAGGAGCTAAAATTTTCTGAGAAACCACCAATATTCCAGCAAAAGCCACAGGATAGTAAGAACTTCTGAAAGGCATTGGAAAATACCAGCGACAGAAAGAAATGACAGTATGTTGGCCATATATGTAAATAATTTTCTGACCCCATCCAACCCTTATCCCCAGGAGAAAATAAGCAAATCTTTGTGGAGGAAATTCTGCCTTCCTTTCAGCACAGGTAAGGAGCCAAGTCAGTTAGGAGAGCCTGTGGAAGCTCCAGAAACACAGATTTGAAACATCACTGACCTAAGAATCTGGAGTGAACAGTGCACCAACCCCTTCTCTCCTGCAGAGCAACAGGGAGGGATTGTCCACAAGGCACATGTTCCTGCTTCTTGACAAGAGACCTTCCAGGTAGACCTCATTACCTTTGCAATCCAACTGGCTCTCACTCATGTGCTCATAAATTTGTCAAAATTTATGACAGACTTTAACCAAGACAGGAATTAGGAGGGACTGTAGGAGGAGCTCTCACACATTATGTCAGTTGCAAAAGCACTACATGTAAGAAGAACTCTATGGTTATAATAGCCCATCTGTTAAAACCTAACTTGTTCTTGCCTTCTAAAAAGAACTTTCTTTTTTATTTTTTTTGTCCTGGGGATTTGCACATGGCTCATCGTGGCTTCATGTAATGAATTGCAAATCTTTCTTTTTTCCCAATAAATTCTTTCTGCTGACAGAACACTTAATTAACATTTTCAGGGAGTAGACAAATATTAGGTAAAGGGAATCAACATTTCCTGAGCACCTTATTTGTACTAAACTTTGTGCTGAATGTTTTCAAATGACAGTATCTCATTTAATCTTTGCAGTTACTCTGAGAGGAAATGTACACCCTGTATTAACAGACTAGAAAACAGAACCTTTCTCAAGGTCAAGCCACTTGCTTAACATTAGTGACATAATAAGGTTAAATTCTGGACTTGTTTGAGGTAGAACAGAAACTATTGCTTTCACCAAAAGACTGTTTTTTTTTTTTTTCTGTTGTAGATTTTTAAATTATGGTAAAATATACATAACATAGAATTTACCATCTTAACCATTTTTAAGTGTACAGTTCAGTAGTGTTAATATATACAGATTGTTGGGCAACAAATCTCCAGAACTTCTTCATCTTGCAAAACTGAAACTTTATACCCATTAAATAATAACTCCCCATTCTCCCTCCCCCCAGCCTCTGGCAGCCACCATTCTCCTCTTTGTCTCTATGATTTTAACTACTCTAGATGCCTCATGTAAATGAAATCATACAGTGATTGTCTTTTTGTGACTAGCTTATTCTTTTAGCTTAATGTACTCAATGTTCATCCATATTGTAGCATGTGTCAAGATTTCCCCCTTTTTAAGGCTGAATAATATTCTATTGTGTGGATATATCACATTTTGATTATCTGTTCACCTACTGATGGACACTTGGGGTTGCTTCCATTTTTTGGCTATTGTGAATAATGCATCTATGAACATGGGTGTGCA